GCAGTGCCGGCAAGGACGGCCTCTTTCAGCACAGTGCTGCATCCATTGCTGTCCATAGAGAAGGAGGAGATGCCCATCAGTTTCGTCAAGCTGATTCTGTCAGGTAAATTCTTCGGAATATCCTGATATAAAAAGAAAACAGGACTATGTTTGGGAGTAGTCAAAACAACCATAAAACAATTATAATTCATGTTGGTCATAAAATATACCACTCTTTCTTAAGGACGTTTCATATATAAGAGAATATAGGAGTAGCTGTATACTTAGGAGTGATGCTTTGCATTAGAGCTGCACAATAAAACATCGTGATTTAATATTAAGATTTTATATTCCCCTTAATTCCCATGGAAAGTTTCCAACTTGGAACATTTCCAAAATTCCTCAGCTTAACTTCCCATGGAATCAAAAGTTTTGGTAAAGTTTCCGGAAATTTTCCATCCTTTTGCAAGCATAGTGGTACGCCTAAAATAATAATGAGATGCATATTGTGATGTCCAAGTTAGTAATCTGTACAAAATCCACCGTATCTTTATGTTTCTCAAATTCAGTTAGCGGAGCACGCCACATACTACTGTTTTGATATACCATTGGGCAGGAACAATGTAATATTGTGAAAATACGCTATACAAATACATTTGAATTTAAACATCCTAAAACACATTAACAGCTTTAATATACATCAATAACAAACAATATTACAATATTATATGATTACAATGTTTGTTATCATATAATGTTTGTTATTAATGTATATTAAAGCTGCTATGGTGTTAGGACGTTAAGGTATACATACATGCTGCTTATGAATGTTCTATGAATGCTTTATGAAGGTGCAGTTAATGTTCTTTGAATGCACAATGAATGTATTAAGAAGGTGCAGTTAATGTGAAGCGATACTTAATACATTTGTAAAGAGGTTTCCGGTCCAAGGAAGAACCACCTTGTATTTTCCTAGAGTAGTTTACTTTAACTGATTTGCTCCAGTAAAAAAATATCTTGATAAACTAGTAAAAAAAAAACTACAAATATATATATATATATATATATATATATAAATAAAAATAACAAGAAATGTAGCTATCAAGACTGAAATCAAGTGAAATAACTTTCGGTAGCTATATTCCAACAAAATTCAAAGGTGATAAACTCACCGGCTCAGTGTTCATATTGACATCCATCCATATGTCAGAATTCTCTGGGTTCATCATGGTTGGCCGGACGGCAATGGTGGGCTTGCAGTAGTAGGAGGAGAAGGTCAGACCGTCGTCCTCAGCGCTCGCCGTACTGGTTCTGACGTTAGCCGTGTTGTCACCGGAGCCGTGGGCATTGCGGGGGTGAAAGCAATTTTTACAGGAGCCTGGTTTCCACACGTGTTCAGCAAAGTCGCCACACGCCGACATCTTTCAAACGCGTCCGTCTCACTGCCAAACCAGCCGAGGTCCACGGGGCAGGGTTAAGCTTGACATGGCATGGAAATTAAAAGCTTCTTTTTTCCCCCAAATCAGGTGATTTTCAATGGCAATGACCTGCTGAGAAGAACAAGGAGTCAGATCAGAATAAAACTGCCCTCAGAATGTAAAATGCACTGCAAGTAAATCAGTGCTACAGCAGAAATGCTGCTCTACACAGTCAGCAACCATGTAGGATATCCGGAGCTGCCTAATAAATAAATGCCATTTGTGTCAATGATTAACCAGTATCTGTTACAAAACAGAATAAAACGGCTAAGATACATTCTGACTTAAATAAAACATCATTTCAAACCCATTACATCACCTCATTCGATACAGGCAGCAGATCTGTCCAGTTCCATGATTATCAAAAACACCCACTCGTTACCATCTGTGCACACAAATCTGTGGACAATATATACTTGACCCTCAGTCAAGTATGTGGGAATTGGCCAGTTTGCGGGACTGTGAAATGGCCAATTTAAGCAAGGGGAACACAGAAATCCGCAAAAGCAAAAAAAATGATCCACATTCAATAAAAATTTAATGACAATATCACACTATAACACTCCAGTCACCATAAACACCCTAAACTAAAATTGGGCTACAGCATCAAATACACATACAAACGCAATTACTGTTTTGATAATACTGTATGCAATTCCCTGCCCCCACCACCCGCCCCACCCAGTATGTGGCAACAGAGCAGTTGCTAAGGGGAGTTTGAAAATGTTTATCATAAGGTAGAATGACCTAAAATTCTATCCATGTACAGGTGCAAACTATATTGAAATTTCCTTTGCAGCCATGCTCTCTAAATAAGTGGCAATTAATCTAGCACCAAAATTAGGGCTGTGGGATACATCATGTGCACGTGCAATAATGACATCTAGGAATGCACTGCAGATATGATTTTTTTTGTTCCCACTGAGTCAGGCCGTCAAGGTGACGTGTTAACTATACACAAGCGACGATGCTGAATTATGAACCCCAGCAACAAGCTTCAACATGTCGGCTGTATGGAAGTATTTTGAAGTATCTTCTGAAACAGATACCAAAACTGGGTAACACTTTACTTGACGGGGCACAAGCATTTAGTAATAACTCAGTTGCTGCTGAAGTACAAATCATGAACAAATACAGTCGGTACTTGTGATAAAAGATACATCATGCTTCATTAATGATGAACACACATGAGACCAGTATTTCACTTGTGTTATTTGTGACTTGTTCCTTCAGTAGTTCACAAAGGTTTACACAATTAACAAGTGTAGTAACAAATATGGTAACTGCACGAGATAAAACATGCATCGCGATTCATTAATGATGAATTTACATTAGATCATTATTTAACTAAGATTAGTTTGTGGTTAATTAATACACAAGTGATAGCATAATACTATATTATTTGTGCCCCGACGCCTGTCAAATAAAATGTTACCCAAAATTGCTATTTGCAAAGCTGGTAAAGAGCCAGCAATTTAGTAACGATGGAAGAGTCGCCATCCTGAACAGCACAAAGACTTTCTAAATGTAGGAAACAGAAAACTTCAGCGAAAACCTGCCAGCAGCCTCTGCTTCAGCCATGTGACAAAGCTACGGAATATAGGGACGATCACCCAAAGGTTTATATACATCGGTACCAACATCGGCAAGAGTGGCCAAATATCAGCTTATCAAATATCGGCAAAAATTCAATATTGTGCATCCGTGATTCACTCTGCATTTTGTGACACTGCTTTGTGTCTGTTGACACAACTGGTGGCAACACCATCAACTTATTTGACACACCCTGGTGGTAAATAAACTTCTGTTTAACTAGAGTTTATCACAGGTAATTTCATCTTCTTTTGAATAAATATCTCAATGTTACTCGAGGAAATTTCATAAAACGAGACGTGTTATCAAGGAGCCGCATCCAAAATCAGCACAGCCATCATAAATAACATTCTCCTGAATAGCAAATAACCACAGCTGTGAAATCAGACATAAGAAACCAGATGACACTGCAATTAAATGGTGACGTAGTAAAAGGTGACGAGTATTACGTTTTGGTTTCAGCCTTATCATCGATCAGTTCTTCGGAAAGCAGTCAGCTGTACACCCACGATTCCTAAAGCAGAGACTCAGAGTTTCTGTACAGTTCATCTGCCCAAAACATAATGACCTTTTTAACAGAGATTGCTAACAGTACTGCCTCACAGTTACAAGATGGTTTGGTAGCTAGTCGGAACATGAAAGATTCAAAACATTGAACTGAAAGTGAATCTCAACAGCTCCTGCAATTTGGCTGATTTTCTGGGTTCTCATAACATGAAATTTCAGTCATACTGTTTTAAAAAGTATTTTGGACTGAGAACCAGAGTTGTGTAAGACAAAGGACTGGGCTTTGAAAGGCCATGATGCAAACACTGTAGTCTCTATTCAAAACATCCATTCAGTCACCAGCGGCTCATTCATGTGCAAATGTGCTTGCAGCCTCCAGTCGTATTAAAAGCGAATTAAGTTTAATGTTGTATAATAAGTAATAACATTCTGCTTTCATTAATAGGTTTCACCTAAAGTAAGGGGACACCAGATTTCTGAGAATTCACATTTTTCTCTAACATTTTCTAAACACTGTATGTTTTATACAGCTGCTGAATAACAAAAAAAATGCAACACCTGCAACACTCCCAGCAGAAAAAATAAAAGAATCAGATGGTTCCTTTTACTTATCAGATGACAAGTGAAAACAGTAAAGAAAAAGAAACATTCATCACCATGATCTCGAAAACAGCGTTCATTTCAGCGACACGGTGGATTTCTGCGATAAGCCCAAAACGGGTGTTTTGTCATTCCTCTCTTAAATGGCAAGTATGAGCTCAGCTTTACTACCTTCCTGTTCCTCTTCCCTTTGCCTTGAAGGGGGAAACTGCGACCGGAGGACACGCAGAAGCCACATCAGGTGGGCTGACTGCAATACAGGCTGCGCCATAACAGCAGATACACAAGCCGTGACTGACAGACAGACCATTCCAGCACGTATCGACTGGACAGGAATTAATCTCCGAGACCAGCTATATTTATTATTAAAACGCCGCAAAAAGTACGCGTCAGAATGCACCCCTGGGTCTACGAAAACCCACAGCACCAAAATAAGCTCCAGTCTCTATAAATGCAAAATAGTTACCATCAGATGCATTTTTTCTCTTCATGCAGAGGAAACAATGACAATAATAAATGTCAATAAAATAATTAATCAAATGTTTACTATGAAGATAAAAGAACCAAAAATTCACTGTGTTGAAAATTGATAAACGACCCGCATGTCACATTTGGATACTGTAACCTGTAACTTCATGTTACTTGCAATTGCCAGCATGTAAGTACTCAGTCATGTGTGTTCTAGAGAAAACATATAACATTTATTTAACATATATGAACATAACTTATGACAGTCTCAATACTTACTTTTACGGGCAAACATGGTTCTCTTTCGCGTAATGTATCAGTGAGGTTTGGAAAATGAACAAGCTCTTAAAAACGGCATCATACACATTAATGATCGTCTAAGACCTAAAAATGAAGCAGCTTAAAAGGTGCGGCTAACGTGTACGTGAAGGTATCTGGCGTTGTTAAAATGCCGGTTTATACGAGATGAAGGGCGAATATACCATCAGCACACCAGCATGAAGCCTTTGAGTAAAATCGTAGGTTCCCGGCGACCGAGGAGTGTTTTAGTTACATTTACTTTGGTTAAGTCTGCTGGAAATCCATTTTTCATTAATGCGTCAATACGGAAAATGAAGATAGAAACACAGTTTAGAAAAAATATAAGTCCCGAAAACGATGCTGGACGAGTCAACTACTGGAAACTGTCCGATTTATTTTGGAGAAGTACGATTAACGTCTGGAAGCATGATTAACGTTTTAAAAATATCCTTCGGTAATTTTCAGAGATCACATGACACAATGTTGATTTCTAATGCAGCCCAGTGGTTTGTCTGTTTTTTCATATTAAACTAAGACGGGTCACTTTCAGGATGTTTCGGAAACATTCAAAGGCGCTTTATGCTGGATCACAGCCCGTAACACGTGTTTCCACAGTAAATGCGTGTAAATCTGCTTTTCACAGCAGCGGCAGTGCGGTTTTAACATAAGCAATGCAACGATTTGGCCGATTACCGTCTGCAAGCCTCACCTGTGACATTATCTTCAATCTCATAAAAACAGCCCACCATACCCTGTAAATACACATGAGCCGCAACGTTTATAGAAATGCAAAACCTATACGAACAAGCTATGAATACTGTAGCTGAAATACCCAGGCTCATTTATGTTGCATGCCAGCTAAAAACGAGTCAGTGATGGAAAATGAATATGGTCTTCATTTATAGCATAGCAAAGGTATGTACTGTACGACAGTTTGAAAAGAACCCGATTGCTTAAAACCTACCTGCACGTCGCGAGTTTTTGCAATATCAAAGCGTCCTTATTAGTGAGGTCTGCGAGAAACAGGCGATTCCAAAACTGGCATACGGTTATTAAAATCCAACACTGTTAATATACTAAAATTACAGAGAAAACAAGTACTAGTGATAGGAAGCACACGCGTCCACCCGTGGGGGCTCGGCGAGACGTTCTGCGGAAGATGCAGGAAACGTGGTCGGGACTAGAGGCAGGGCGACATAGGGGTGGAGCCGGCGTGTGAAACGGGATACCCAGCCCGGCTCGGTTCAAATATGGGTGTCCTGGATATGTCGTGGGCGACGAGCAAGCAACCATCCAAAACATTATTTCCTCACCCATGTTATAGTTATGCATCCCGTTTTACGCTTTAGAGCTTTTAATAGCGACAGTTTGACAGTCATGGGTGTCATGTGATGCCAAAGAACAAGAGAATTGAAAAAAGAAAGTTACGTAACTTTGATTAGTAAAATGACTGGATAATATGAAATAGTCATACGCATTAAACTATATACGATTCACATTTCAGAATTACTTTGCTTGAAGAAAGGCGCGGTCAGAAAAATAATACACACCTGCTTAGGCTACTATAACCACTTGATTCCGGCTGAAAATTACCCCGAAGAAGTACCACGTAATGAAAGGTGATTTTCTTGTGACTTGCTTGCTACAAAACACTTTGAGCTTAGCCAAGTAATTTACTAACACTGTTTTCACCGGAATTTAGGGGAGAATATCTGTTCAAATGACCTCTTCAATTACATTACTGGGTTTTTTCCCTTGGAAATGAACCAAAAGGTTTAACTTTATAAGTTCATATCCTTAATTATTATGCAACTATTGCTTAATATTATTGAAAATGTTCCTGGTGATGGTTCAATATTACCAACGTTGTGCATTAGGATTACTCTTTATATGGGGTTTTAAACTACTCCCAGATATGGTCATATTTTCTTTTTATATCAGGATATTCCGAAGAATTTACCTGATAGAATCAGCTTGACGAAACTGATGGGCATCTCCTCCT